ATATCTTTTCAAATTTGAGCTCAGGACAACAATAACTTTTGAATGATATAAAAAAAATCCGTCAAAAATGGCTAGTTAACAAGTCGAAATTTATCTGAAGAAAAAAAAACCCACCCAGAACACAAATATTCCGTTACTTTCGCATCGAAAGTCGGAACAATTACATAAAAAATTTCAACTAATTTTCAATCAATTCAGATAACGCCTGGAATTTAGATCAAACTTTATAATGAAAATGTTTATGCAAACCAAACTAAAATATTTTGCACAACTTAAAAATATGATAGAATTAAAAAATATCTGAAGTTTATAGTTCTTTCTTTTCATTGGACAAAACATTTGAAAATCAACAGTAAAATCAGCAATTTGGCATGTAATATTTTTTGTCAATTCGCCATCAAAATCTAATTTCAGCAAAAATTGATAACGTCTGATTTTACCTGAACATTAGTTTCTGAAAAAACAAATTCTCATGTACTTTTGGAAAAAAAATTGAAGTAAAAACAGGCATACTCAGTGTAAGTATTATGAACTTCCCGTTTTTGCTCAACAATAGAAAAAGTGAAATAGGCATAACCATGGGTTAAATCATGATTGATTCAGTAAAATTAGCCAAAGCAAGTGATGACAAATGCTTTGACTCATTTTAATCAAAAATGAACTGACGTAAAGTTATTGGTTTTATTCTAACCAATTACTGCATTTTGCACTAGAAAATTTGGGGTAATTTTTGGTGACATTAAGTGATTACTTTGGTCAGCCGGAAAACTTGCTCTACTAAATCTGTTTTGACTTCTGTTAATTATTTTAGAAAGTTTCTACTCTGAAAACTCAGGCAATCATAAGCCAACCCCGTCCCCTACTGGATCTATTCAAACTCAAAGTTCTTACTGACATGAAAATCGACAAAATGATTTTAAAAAAAAACATTTCCTGAAGTTCAAATTTTGTAAACATTTTTCTAGTCAAACAATCTTTCAAACAAATTTTTGAACAATAGTTAAAGTGAAGATGAAAATCTTTTTTGATTGAAAAAAGCCCAAAATATCAAACCAAAACATGTTTAAGCAATCCTTGCTTTGTACAAACTAAAGTCTGCCTGACAACTGCGATTATTTTTCTTTGAGATATGAAAATGATATCAATACAAAGAAATGGATATCAATAAATTTGAGTAATTTTTATCAAAATCTTCCCTATAAAGTACAAAAAGATAGATTGAGCTCCTTTTAACAAATCAATTATGACAAATAAGCTAAGCTTCTTTCTACCAATTTGGAACAATTTTAAGACAGATTAACTCTCCGCTTACGCGTTAATAGCGCGAAGTATATTGCGCGTTAATTGTCTCAAATTGGCCAAAATGGCAATCTTTAAACCCCCAAAACTTTACGAAAAACGATCACAGGTGAAATATCTTTTCAAATTTGAGCTCAGGACAACAATAACTTTTGAATGATATAAAAAAAATCCGTCAAAAATGGCTAGTTAACAAGTCGAAATTTGTCTGAAGAAAAAAAAACCCACCCAGAACACAAATATTCCGTTACTTTCGCATCGAAAGTCGGAACAATTACATAAAAAATTTCAACTAATTTTCAATCAATTCAGATAACGCCTGGAATTTAGATCAAACTTTATAATGAAAATGTTTATGCAAACCAAACTAAAATATTTTGCACAACTTAAAAATATGATAGAATTAAAAAATATCTGAAGTTTATAGTTCTTTCTTTTCATTGGACAAAACATTTGAAAATCAACAGTAAAATCAGCAACTTGGCATGTAATATTTTTTGTCAATTCGCCATCAAAATCTAATTTCAGCAAAAATTGATAACGTCTGATTTTACCTGAACATTAGTTTCTGAAAAAACAAATTCTCATGTACTTTTGGAAAAAAAATTGAAGTAAAAACAGACATAATCAGTGTAAGTATTATATGATTGAAGTGCTTACTGAACTTCCCGTTTTTGCTTAACAATTGAAAAAAGTAAAATAGGCATAACAATGCGTTAAATCATGATTGATTCAGTAAAATTAGCCAAAGCAAGTGACGACAAATGCTTTGGTTAATTTTAATCAAAAATGAACTGACGTACAGTTATTGGCTTCATTCTAACCAATAACTGCATTTTGCACTAGAAGATTTGGGGTAATTTTTGGTGACATTCAGTGATTATAAAAAAAACAGTGCACCACAAAAGTTGATTTATTTTACATTTGCATTTATTTTACAATCGTTGTTATAATCCACGGATTCTGTGAAACGCCATTGCGGATTCGATGCACAAACGTTTCACAATTTTTTTTTCTAAAAATCATGGGTTTCGGAGACTTTGTCGCAAATTAGGATGTTTTGGATTCCGGTTTGTCGTATTTTTGAAACGGCATGCCGCCATGGCCGAAATTTGATCACGAATTCCGCAACAAATATTTGAGATAACATGTAATCGAGCATGTGCTTTGTTACCGTCTCATGAATCAGTCTACTTATAAGCACAGAAATCTCTTAATATACAAAACGAAAAAAAAACATGGCTACTGTAGAACCATGTATAACGTAAAGCATGATTGAGATGAAAATTATATGGATGACAAACAGAAAATATTGAATTCGATTGGTGTTATCCTGGTTACAGTTTTTAAACCTGTATTTAGACTCTATTGAAAAACAGAATAATAAAAGAATTTCTAAACTCGAACTCTTGGACCCAAAATAATATCTCGCCCTAAATAAAAAAGGGAGAAATTCTACTTGGTGAACAGCCATAAATTGCAGCCAATCACATTTGAGCATAGATCATGCAGGCTTGACTGCTGGAATTTGTCATTTATTTTAAGGGAGGATGTTGTGGAATTAGTCTATTTATGGGGGAGAGATGGTTTCCATGGGACGAATTCTCAAGTAAAATTTGCTACTTTACTTTTGTCTTTTGCTGCACTTCTTAAATCACCTTTTTATCTCAAAACGTTTGTTCTGAAACTTTTAAATGAATTCCAAAATTTTTCTACCCCTCTTGTTTTTTGAAAATTTCAGCAAAATTGCTGAAAACAATTTAAAGTCAAATAAAATTGACATTTCTTGCCTGGACAACAGTTTAAGATAGATCAAGTTCGATCAGCCAGACAACTTGCTCTTCTAAATCTGTTTTGACCTGTGTAAATTATTTAAAAAACTTTCTAAAGTTTTATTACTTAAGCAATCATAAACCAACCCAGCCCCCTCCCAGATGTATTCAGTTCATCGAAAATTTCTTTTTTTGAGAATTTATTTCATTTCATTTTTTCGAATGAGCTCTGACTGACTACACGGGTACCCGCACTCAGTAAAAAAAGAAAATAAAAGATTATAATGGGTTTTTATCGTCAGTCTCCGGAAATTTCAAAAAGAATTGACTATAGATGATTAAAAATGAATTATAAAGTTACCATTTTTCGAAAGAATATAAATCATTATAATCGTTTATAATCGATTATAATCGATTTTTTTTGAACAAGATTTTTTCAAATTTTATTGAATTATAATCCATTTATTATTCATTAATTGTGTCATCGCTTCATTTCGTTTTATTTTTGTTTTGTTTTGTGTGCTTTTCAGTTGGTTACCGAACTAAATGATACTATATACTTGCGCTTAAAGCCAGGGGTGGTCATAGAGGCGGGGGCTGGGGTTTCCCCCTTTGAATTATCTTGAGATATATATATTTTTGGTGACGGTGCTAAAAACGCCTTTTTTATCTAAAAACGCCTTTTTTGGCCTGTTTTTTCATAATTGTCTAAAAACGCCTTTTTTGGCCTGTTTTTTCATAATTTTGCCTGCGGCGCAGAAAGTTTGATCAAAATGGGGTCTCTATAGGGAGTTAGAAGTGCTCATAAAATCAATTTGGTCAACTTAAAAAAAAGGTCGACAAAATTATCGAAATTTTTTTGAAAACCCCCGAGAAAGTCCTAGATCCGCCCCTGTTTATAGCTTAAACTTACATTAAATTTGATTTTTACTGTGTTTTCATGCAGAATAGCTAAACTATAGTCCAATTGAATTGATTTTTTGTATGAGATAATATTTTGATAGTAAATAGGATTATAATCTATTATAATAGATGATAAGAGATTTTCGGAAAAATTGTAATCAATTACTATTGATTATAATTTATTGAAATGTCAACAAAAATAATATCATTATAATGGATTATAAATCGCTCAAACATCAAAAATTGGCTCTTATAATTAGTTATAATTTTGCTAAAAGTACGATATTTTGTCTCTTTTTACTGAGTGCGGTTAGGTCTTATCATGTAAGGCAATTAATCAAAATTCTTTGTGTTGGTCGAAATCATATGAAGGCAATTCGGTTGTTCAAATGTCACGTGGTCAAAAAAAATGTTCATCTACTTCGCTTTTAAATATTGGCTTGAAAACACTATCAATTTGTAAGTTTCTTTCTCCAATTTAGGATATATCAGCCTGGAAAAAAAAAACAGATTTTTCTTCTAAAATGGATGTTTTGAGACCCAAAGTTTTTACTTTTATTTTTACTTGAATCCAATTCTATGGCAAACAATTTGTCAAACATTAAATATGGTCACTCTTTTGTTTTGGCGGATCAAAAAAAACTTGAGATTGCTGATCAAAACATTTTTTTGCTGCCCTCGAAATGGTTTAAAGATTAAAAGTTGCATTCTAAAGATTCCTGAAGAAATGTCTTTTGGGGCCAAAAAGTTAACTTTTAGAGAAATCGGCAAAACAGCTACCGAAATTGTGCAGCAATAGACTGATCGCCCGCACGCATTTGATATTTTCTTTGATCTAGTGACTCTTTTTTCTTTTTGAAATAGATTTTTTTTACTAATGAAGAAAAAATTAAAATGTTGATCAGATTTTTTCTCTCGGCAAACATATAATAAAAATTGCTGTGCGTCTGACAAAATTTCCATGAATATCGATTAGCAGCTGATTTTTACGGTAACTGATTACCTCCCATTGTTATGAATCAAAATTAGTAATGTTTAAAAATCACACATAAAATTTTGCCTTTCATTTATTTAATGATGAAAATCAAATACTTTCTACATCGATTTGTCAAATTTGGTGCTGTAATTTTTCTTATAAAGGTTTTTCAACTCATTTTGAATCGTGCAGAGCTAGTTGCGCAACATAACGGCCAGCTCGCTCGAACTCCGCTAGCAAAATTCCAGGTCTTCCAGGCCGAAGAAATTGTGGACGACGTTTTCGGCTTAGAGCCAGTGCCGGATATTTGCCGCGAATTCTTTCCTGATTACTTCAACAACTTCGATCTGTTTAGACTGTCGAAAGACACTATCAACCATTCTCATCACTTTGACGAAAGGTTTGTGGAAAATTGAGCGCAAATTAAACGCAAGTCAAATATCTCAAAAGGCCAAAAAACACTGCTCATATCAAATCAAAGCAGAGAAAATTCCGAACTCCCGAGTTCCCTTTAGTGTGTCTGAAGGTCTTTTGAAAGAACTTTTGAACGAACGATGGGGGGGGGGGCAAGGGGGGCGGACGTCTTCCCCCTCAGGGATTCGACCCCTTGCCGACCCAAAGGGTCCCACCTTTGGTACTTTTTAAGAAATCCATTTTTGGCCGTCTGACCCTAAAATTTTTCTAAAGGCGCCATGGGCGCCAATATATACAATATACTTTTAGGGGAATGCCCTTTGGCCTGACCAACTTGACCTTTGACACAATGTTGGAAGTGTTGTCGGAAGTGGACAGTGCCCCTCTGCCAAAACTGTCCGCAAACGCCACCTGTGTAGTGGTCGGCTCATCCGGCATTCTATCCAGGGTACAGTTTTGGTGCTCTTTTATTGTTCCTACTATTGTAAATGAGCAGAAACGTTTTTTCGAGTGTGTTCTATATTTTTTAAATTTTTTTCCTACGCAAGTTCAGGTACCCAGTAGCTGATTTAAGGTGGGGGGGAGGGGTGGACGCTTCTTTTCTATGTACTATTTTGAGATATTCATTTTTGGCTGAGTGACCTTGAAATTTTTCTAAAAGCGCCTTGGGCGCCAATCTTTACTTATTTTGAGGGGGGCGCGCACGCTATTTTTGGCCTTATTTAAAAAACTTGCCTGCGGCGCAGAAAATTTGTTCAAATTACGGTCTTTATAGTGATTTGATAGAGCCCAGAAAATCAATTTGGTCGACCTAAAAAAAAGGTAGACAAAATTTTGATTTTTTGAAAGTCCTCGAGAAAGTCCACGTTTTTTGAGAGTCCACGTTTTTTGAGTTTTTTGAAAGTCCACGTTTTTTGAAAGTCCTCGAGAAATTCCTAGATTCGCGCCAGCAGGTACCATAAAAAATCATAGGTCGAGTGATAAATCATTTTGAAGCCCTTTCAGTCGCAATTTCAACGACTCATAGTTAATTTTTCAAAAGTTATCCCAGTGTTGAGAAGAAACCGGCTTAAAACTTTTGAGTTAAAAGTTAATATCGAGCAAGTAAAGCAATCGAGTTACGTTTTTTATATAAAAATTGCTCGTTTCGGCTAAGAAAATTTGATTTCACTAAAATTTAAACTAGTTTTATTTGATTCACTTAACGCTACCTTGGCCGAAAAAGTTTTAAGCAACCTTAAAAATTTTTGCGCAAAAAAATATAAAAAGGTTTTGTTTGTTATTCAATTTTTGAATACAATTGTTGTCAATTTTCCACACAAAGTTTAGTTCTCCTTTCACATCACGCAAAAAAACCGAAGCTTTTTCTTGATTTTTATGTATGCGGTGGGAACATTCTGTGCTACTTGCACAGCAACCGGCTATCCTTGATTCTTCTCACCAACAAAATTAGAGTATAATAGCACACAAATCGCCTTTGGAAGATTCAAAATTTTGGTGATTTGTTACAATAGGTGGTAATTTTGAGTATAGTGCATGTTTTAAATTTCAGAACTATAATACATAACATATTCACTTCATTTTCAATCAGTTGTATTACTACTAAGTTAGTTTTTGTAAATACATTACTCTGCCAAATGAAATACTATTCAAACATTCAAATTTTACACTTCTTTCGACAAAAAAAAAGCAATCCAGCTATTGGAATTGAACCTACCACCTATTGTGTTATATCAACAAAATTTGGTTGACCAAAATAGAATGATGTACAATAGTAAGCAAGAGGAAAAAAGCAAGGTGAAAATATTTACTCCGAGGGCGAAATGAGGGTTGCATGGATAATCAATTCGGCTGAACCGCAAATTCGATTTGTTCGAACTTAAAACAAACAAAAAAATTGGTTCCTCTAGATAGTCCAGGAAAAACCTTATAAAAAAAATTATAATAGGGTCAAAGTCTTGAGAAGGAGGCATCTGCTACCTTACATCCGCCTATAAAGTTGGAATTAAAAAAACTGCAATTTCAGAAAAACGTGTCATCCCTCATCGACAATTACGACTACGTTTTCCGCTTCAACAACGCGCCCGTGTACTCACACCGACACGCAGTCGGGTCCAAGATCAGTTTCTACACGACTTACTTTTCCACCATACGAGACGCCATCCGAAACGGACGCAAAGACCAGGCGGATCAAGGCAGAAACTCAAGCATAATTATAATGTTGAGTTCACTTTCAAGAATCCTTTTCAGTAATTACGGATTCTTTTTATTACAGATAAGCATAACAACGGATCAGGCGCGGATTAAGGGGGGACGGACGCACCCCCTCAGGGATTTGACCCCTCACCGACCAAAGCGTCCCCCTATTGGTATTATTTTGACATCAATTTGAGGCCGACCAACCCTACTTTTTTCTAAAGGCGCCTTTAGTTTTACTAATTTTGAAGGGGCCTTTAATTTTACCACTAATTTTGAAAGGGAGTGGTTCTCTTTGACCTATTTTTTTCAAAAATCTCCCCCCCCCCCCCCGCCCTCGAGAAAATCTTAGATTCGCCTGGTTCACTAAGTTAGAGATATTAATGACGGATAACAAATTGCGGATCGCCTATTCAAACTGATTCAGGTGGATCAATTCAATTTGTTACACACGATGTGAATGACAAACAATTTTTTTCTAAAAATGACCACCTGCAATTTTTTTATTAAATCTAGGTAGTCAATTAGTCGATTATTTCAGCCTTGCAGTGATATTTTTTAAAAAAAATTTAGACTTTCTGCCTAATCTAAGTTCTCTACATATTCACGTACCCCAAAGAATTCTTAGCTCCCCTTTACTACATAAATCCAAAGAAATACAACAAAATGAAGGCCAAATATTTCTCTGGAATTCAGAAGTCTGTCTATAAAGACCCACCCACTGGAAGAATTTATCGAGATATGAAGTTATTTTACCAAAATAGCAACATAACTTTCCTTTCACCTCTTCTGGGCTCTCAAATCAGGAATCATTTGTTGAAAAATGAGAGAATTCGGGCAACAAGTGGGCTAATTGGTCTGGTTATGGCGATATCTCTGTGTCCCAATCCACCAGACATTGCCGGGTTTTCACTCGGAAACAGCGACTTGTACCCTTATCATTACTACTCGGCTTTTAAGAAGTCGTATCTGACGAAAGTCCACAACGCTAGTTCAGAAACTGCAGTGATTAAACGCATGTTTGGATGTAGATTGTTGGGTAATGATCTAACGAACGGAATTTTGAATATTTTGTAATGATTACAATTATTATATTATATTTCTTTTCCCAAACCGCTAGAGGAAAAACCTGCTGATTTAATACCCTTTGGTGAATTACAAAAATAAAAAAATAATAAGTGTAATTAAATTTTCAATTTAAAAGCATGTCTTTTTGTTTATGGTCTATACGAGTGAAAGAATTTCTTCTGTGATTTCAGCCTTCGACCGATGCTAGCAAACAAAAAAATGTACGGATAACCTTTGCGATAAGGATGACGGTATCCACTAACAAACAATCATAAAAAAGTGTGAGCTACCGCGGCGAAAACCCGTGGGAATTCTTGGTTCTAGTTTAGGAGATATGATTGTTTTATATGATAAGTAACTGTAACAAATTTAGGAAATTGGTTTTTTGGACTGAAGTTATGGGAAAGCTTAGCAGTTTTTAAAAAATTGAAAACTTTGATTGAATTCGTTTATGCAATTTACGTGAATTAAGAAAATTAAAAAGTATTTATTTTGTCTCCGAGGGGTTTCTGAGCCTGCCTATCCGGCTGACCAAATTGATTTTCCGAGCACTCCCAAAACAACAAAAAAGTATGCGAGCACTGCTAAAATAAAGTGATTTTCTGAGCTAAAAGTCATCAGCGGATTAGGGGGGGGGGGGGGGTTGGTCTGTTGGCCCCCTTCAGGGATTTGACCCCCTGCCGACCCAAAGGGTCCCCCTTTGTACTGTTTTGAGGTATCGATTATTGGCTGACTGACCTTAAAATTTTTCGCAATGCAATTAAAGTGTTCTTTTATATATTTTTTTGTTTACAACGTTTTTTTTTCATAGCCACCAATAATTTTTTGCTATCATTGAAATATTTAGGAAACTTGCTGAATCTCACTGAATTTTTTTACCAACAGAAAGTAATGAGCGTTTTCCTGCAAGCTTCCTCAAATTTTTGAAGAAAAAAAACTCTGGCCAATTGCATAAATTTGTAGCCTATTTTTTTATACTCCAAAGCGCTTTTTGGCTAATAGTTTTCAAAGGATCAAAAAACGTCGAATTTTCTCTTAAAGACGAAGAAATTTTTATAATACTTTGTTTTACCCCACCTTTTTCTCAAACTTCGCTTTTTATGCTTCTTTTTACCCGCAAGTTTTCACCTACCGTTTTTGCCAGCTCTGAAAAATAGTTCCTTAAAAATTTGATATCAAGTCTTTTCGCTAAGACATGACCTTTTCATGGCTGAAGCAAAGCGGCAAACAATCAAGTAAGTTTTAGAAGTGGGTTAAATTAGAGGTTAACTCGCGATTGAAAGAAAAACTGGGATAACAGCTACGTCGTTATTATTATAATCAGTAGCGGATTTAGCGAGGGGGGTCGGACGCCGCCCTCTCAGGGATTTGTCCCCCTTTAAAAGAGCTCAGAAAATCATTTTGGTCGACAAAATTTTCGAATTTTTCCTGAAAATCCCACCCACCCTCGAAAAAATCCTAGATCTGACCCTGCTAAGGGGGCAACCAAGAGTGACAAGGGAGAGACAGGCAGAGGGATGGAATCTGGGCGGAGTCCAAACTTCAGCAATTAATAAACAGATAAATATTTCTGTTTTTTCACTGACTTTTCCACGATCAGAATCTAAAAAAGTCGAGGAACAAATTAGGCCATTACTGAATCAGTACTGTTACAGTAGTTCAATTTTATCTCAGATTTTTCTCTGGCACTGTACAAGATGGCACTGTGGTACAAAGTGGATAAATAAACTGTATAAAGTCTGACCCAGTGCTGAAGTTGGATCTACTTAAGAATCGCTCCTCCCTTTGGTATCTACTAGTGATTTACCACCCCTATAAGAAAGCAGAAAATTAGCACTGGAGCGTTCTATATTCAGTTTGAATTTTGCTGCAATCTTATTGGTCGAAAATTCGACAAACATGTTCTGCTTAATAATTAAATGTTACCCGGGTCGAGGTGTTTACTTCATGTTTCGACTTTCAAAGAAAAAGCTCGACCAGGAATTGTTGGTCGACCAAGTGTACGACCAAAAAAATAGTCGAGACAGGGGTTAATGTCGAGCACAAGCTCCAAACATAACGCGAGCATGGTCAAAACAAGCAACGTTCGGTTGAGCACAGTCGAAACATATAAAAATTTGTTCGAGCAAGTTCAAAACATACCTTTAGCAAGTTCAAAAGACACATCGAGCACGGTCGAAACAAACATCAAGAACGGCCGAAACATATCTCGAGTACGGTCGAAAGAAGCCTCAGGAGCGGTCGAAAACCAATTGATTTTCGGCGGTAAATCGGAGTCAAAAACAAAAACTATTTCCGAGCATCAACATATTTGTTAACGATTTTGACTCAAATTAAAATCAGAGTTATCCTTTGATTAAAAAAAATCAGCCTAAAACAAGCTTAGCGTATTTTTGCAAAACATTCAAGTTGCAAATAACCCAATAACTTCATTATGAAAAAGAAAAACATCCGCAGATGATATGATACCCGAAAATCATAAACTACAACGTTTAAGTTTGGATAACTGATGATAGTTGAAAGTCGAAAGATACCCGAATTCGGTCGAGCATAGTCAAAACGTGTCTCGCCTGGGTTTATCACGGTCGAGCAGATTGTTTTCGGTCGAGCACGGTCTAAACATATACACTTTTAGTCAAGACAGAGTCGAAACATACCGATTTTGGTCTAGACGGTCCAAGCATAGTGATTTTTGGTCGAGACTTATAACCAGAAAAACAATTAACATTTAATTGATAAGTAGATCCTTAGAATTAGTGAAACTTTAAGGAAAGAGGAAGTTCGTTGATTTTTAATTTGGTTACAGAAAATTTTTAGATGTTTACGAACTTAACAAAAATAGCGGCTGGTTGCTGAATAAAAGATTCAAATGTATCTAAATTTCGCAGTATTAGTTAAGGTGAATCGGAAGTTTTTTTTGATGGTTTGTCCTCTTTCGCTGTCTTTGAAAAATACGTCTATAAAGCAAGTATAAATATATTCAGCACGATGAAAATATAATCAGCAAGAATCAGGGGGAAAAATTCAAATTATCAGGCAGTAGATTGCAGTTCGAGGCGTGGTAGGACCTTTGTTCTGCAAAACTCTTTATTTTTGTCAATTTAGAGTTTTAAGGACACTGGCCATAGTAGGGTACATAAATAAGGGATCTTTTTCAGCGTATCCCCCCTATAGTACCTAGTAACGAATCCCCCCCCCCCCTATAAAGGAACATTTCAACATTTCACCTGTTACGCAAATGAGATTTCAAACCTAGCAACGAATATCCCCCATTTGAAAAAGGGAGATACCGTTAAAGAGATCGATAAGTTTAATCTATGTAGAAGAAGTGTTTCGACGTAGTTTCTGACTCCAGAAGCAGGCGATCTTTCTGTATCCACAGCGGAAGGGTTTGTTCATCACCCCGTAGATCAGACTGTTCATGCATGAGTTCAACATGCACATCCACGTCACTGTCAAGTGGAACAGCGCAGGTAATTTATCCTGAAAAAAACTGAGTTTCTTACTTTTCATGCTCACAATATAGTAATACTTGGATCCTGTTAACTAATACTCCCCCCCCCCCCCCCAATAATAAAAAACTTGGATCTTGTTAACTATCCCTCCCCCCCCCCCCTACTGCAATGGCAATAAGAATTGCGACGTCTCTACAAATAATTAAATCAACGGTTGAGCATTGTGGGAATTGTGTAGTTTGCACAGATCCCCCCCCTCTTTGCAATAGCTTTTCGTTTTTCGCGGGGGTAGTCAACAAAGTCCTAACACTTTGGTTTTTAAGACCGCTCAAAAAGTTTTAAAATCGCTCAAATGTTAAATGAGCTACTGTAATATTTTACAGTCGCGCAAAGCTGTTGATAAAAAGATTCAAAAAACTGACTTTTTTAGTCAGCACATTCTGTGCTACTTTTAGATTAGGTGGCATTTTTAGGCTTTACTTTTTGCTTCTGCTTGAAATGAGGCTCTGTTCCTGTTTTTCATTTTCCGTACAAACTGGCAACATTTTCTGGAAATGTATCTAAAAAAAATCCGTTTTTCTTTTTGTTACAGAAAGATGTATGGTAAAAAAGAGGTGCTAAAAATGCAGAAGCTGATTTGGTTTTTATTTAGAGAAATTTATACGCGTATAGTTTTTTTTTAAAAATTAAACTCAATCTTTCGGCACCTTTTTTTACCGTATGTCTTTTTGTAACTAAGAAAATGTATTTTTACAGATAATTTTCCAGAAAGTGTCGCCAGTTGAATCATCCTGGAAGTTGTTGCCAGGATGAGCTGAAAAAGTTCAAAGCTGGGCAAAAGGGGAGCATGAGTCATACGTTGTAGTCTATGATGACAGTTAGAGAGTAGGGCGTCCAGCTGATGTTGAAGACGACAGTGACCAGCAGCAGAGACTTGATGAGACGCCACTGATTCTTCTTCGCATTCCGAGCAGAACGAGAGATTTTGTTCAACACATCTATATAAGTACAAATAGGTGAACTAAAGGTTAACGAAGGTTTAGTTTTTGGAAGAACTGTGTGAAATATTGGTCTAATATCTTTGCTCTGGAGGTGTCACTAAACAAGCTAAACGCCTCTGACACATTTTTTCCGGAGTTTAACAAAATTATTATAACGGCTAAATCATTTTTAGTAAAACAAGAAGTAGTTCAAATATATTGTGATAATAAAATGCAGGGCGAAAAATATTATGCTTTGGAAATGGGTAAAGAGAAAAAACGGTATCGACTATATCAACTACTTATAAAAAAATATAATAATTACAATAATAACGACCTTGCTGTTATCTCAGTTTTTTTTTCATTCGCAATTTGGCCTCTAAATTAAGCCACTTCTAAAACTTACCTGTTTGACTGCCGCTTTGCTTCAACCATGAGTAGGTCATGTCTTAGAGAAAAGACATGATATCAAATTATTACGGAACTATCTTTCAGACCAGGCAAAAAACTCAAAACTTGCAGGCAAAAAGAAGCATAAAAAGCGAAGCTTGAGAAAAAAAGTTGGGAGAAAACAAAGTATGATATTATTTTCGTCTTTTCGAGAAAATTAGACGTATTTTGATACTTTGAAAACAATAAACCGAAAAGCGCTCTTGAGTATATTGAAAATAGGCTACAAATTAATGCAACTGGCTAAAGTTTTTTTTCGAAAAGTTGAGGAAGCCTGCAGGAAAATGCGCATTACTTTCTGTTGCGTTAAATTTAGATGTTTTTAAATATTCTCAGAACAAATGCTTACAAATTTTGATATTCTCTATGACTCTTAATCTTAATTTTTTCAAGAAGAATCGAAAACATTATTGATAAAGTTATTGGAAAAATTCATTTCGATAACAGTTGAAGACCAAAATTAAAGTTACCCATAAAACTAATTAAACAACAACTTTCATGAAATTATTTATTTAAACTTTTTTTCTAGCCGTAGATAAATGGTTCTTAAGTATTATTATGAGCTTGATTAAAAAAAAACATTTTTGGAAGTTTCCAAGGAATTCAATGAGGATTCTATACGTTTGAAGCTTTTTTAAAACTGAGCTGATTAGCGTTTTTTGCTTGCAATTGAAAAGTATGATAAGCAATTATACATAAACAAGTTTTTTATTCAAGTTTTTATTTGAAGTCGAAGTTTGACGTTACCCTAACCAAGTACTATGAATAGGACCATGCTTCGTGAAAAAATTTTGCCAAGAAAGCTTTCAGATTCTCATATACATATCTACGAGTGATTGCATATATTCAGTCTATATCGAAAAATCTTTTCAATAAAAATGGCTTTTTCTGAAAGTGACATAAAAAAAATGTTTTTTTTTCCCAGAACACATATAAAGTTTATATTTATAAAAAGAACGGACTGAACTCCGATTATTGATAAACGGTTGACTGGGAAAAAAGAACTTTTAAAAACTTTGGGAATCAGCCAACTTCAATTTGCACATTAGGTTGCGATTTGATTTGTTATTTTTTCCGATAATATACTGTTTTTAATTTCTGTTTGTATTTTGCACAAAGGTTTTTGCGTAAAATGGCTGTTTGTTTTTCGATTTAACATCTTTAACTTTTTTGTACCCTAGAACGAACACTGACGAACCCAGGGTCAAATATTTTTATAATTTCAAAAACAATTAATATAGCTTGCAATTGATGCTCAATATCAAGGATGATTGGCAAGGAGACGGGTCTGATCCACACAATGAAGTTAACAGATGGTTATGAGAGACAATAGAGCAAACAAATAAGGAGTAAGGCACCCAATTCAAAAGAAATTTTTTGCCGAAAATTGAATTGCCATTTGTAACAGTATGTGATTTTTGTTCGATTTGAGGTCAAGCAAGTTGCGAGACAGTTATTCATTTAGCTTTATTCATTTAGCTTATTCATTTTGTTTGCTTTGCTGAACTTTATGTTCACTAAGTCTATCTAGATCAAACCTCTCTCTGCGTCTTTTACGGGGGCGGCTATTTTGGGCAAAAACTATATTAGATGAAAATAAAAGTGTTGAAGTAAGGCAAAAAATTTTGATTTAAAAAGTGTACATTTTAGCAGAAACTGTATGTGATTACTTACGTCATTCCATTGCTACATACAAAATATATGTAATGTTATTCAAACAGCAATTCAACGATAAAATAGTGACAGCTGCAGTCGCGCCAACCTGTTGCGAGCTTGCCAACAGAGGGTAGGACACTTTACAAATTAGAGCCGCCTATCGCCGCGAAACGCGAGCCGACAAACGGCTTTGTAGTCTTTAACTGCTTCAGGTCAAAGTCGTCTGAAAAATTAGGGAGGTTTTTGTAAAATATACATTTTTATTATCGAAATTTTCGCCTAAATTTAACACTTTTATTTTCGCCTAATATAGATTTCACCTAATATATACAGCCCTGTCTTTTACGAATATCAAGTGATAGTAGCGAACAGGCATGAAATGAGTAACTTGAAAGCGAAAAGAACAAACTTTTGCAGAATTTGTCAAATAAAATTTGTTCCTGATTTAGCAAAACTCAGGACTGTTCCATTGTTTATTCAGTGCTGCAATTTAACTACGGTTTTTATCTGTGATTTCAACTCTAATCAGAGTTGAAAATGCCATGTTGACAGTTTGATGCAGTACTGGAACTTCACTGAAATATTACTGAAGCATTGCTGATCAGCTATTGTTTTATGGTTAAACGGGTTGTGTTTTTTTCTTACCTGGGTTTCCTGCCTGTGCAGCTTTGATTGCTGCCCGTTTTTGCTCCTGCCTCGCCGCTTTGAACTTCTTCTTGCTTTTGTGGAACTTGCGGAACACCTGCAAAAAAATTCAAAGAACTGAATAAGAATGCTTATTTTGAACACCTTCAATTCAAATGCCATTTAGAAGAAAAAGCTGTCTGATTGATTTTTGGGACACTATTTTTTTGACCAAAAACGTAGGATTTGGGAAACTAACTGACAATAATCCTGAACTGATCTTTAGTCAAATTAAGTGAAACGCTGATTGCTTCATTGTTTATTTGCACCATCGGATGTTTGCACAATTAGCACATACCTTGACATAAGCGGCAACAGTTACAGTGAATGGCAGAGTGACGGCGGCGAGGAGGAGGAAACAGGTGTAGGAGAAGGAGAATGTCCGGTCGTATGAACAGATCAGGGTCTTGTGATCGAACCTTAAGATGCAAAAAAAAGGTTTTGTGCATTAACTCGATACGAGAAGCTGCTGCAAACATTGAATTTCATAACAATTACGCAATAATCTGAATCTTTCATCCCAATAACGTAATGCCGAATCTTCGCCCAATTAAAGATTTTTTAGATTTAGATTTTTGCCCTAGTGAAGCTGTTTTTTTTTGCATGTTTGCATCAGTTTTCATTTTCGGATGTTTGACATGTCGGTTGTTTGCACGGTAAACAGGTGAATTGTATGTATATATGCGTACGAATCTATTTAAAAAGAACTTTTAAAGAGGCGGATTTGCGATTTTTCAAAAAAAATTGAAAATTGTTTTGACATTTTTGTAAGCTGAAGAAATCGATTTTCCGAGCGCTCCCAGAAGACTATAAAGACCTTATTTTGACAATTTTTTTGCTCCGCAAGAATTTTTTTTCAGATGGTTTGAAATTTGAAAAAACCTATTTAAAAATCATTTTTATATATTCTTATGAACCAATTCACAATTTCTGACTCGTATCCCAAGATTCGGAAATTTAACTTAACTTTTTAACCGTTTTACCTGATGCGTATGCTTACCTAATTTACCTAATGTACTTATGCTTAATCATTGAAATATTTAATTGTAAGGGTGGTAACTCCTTTCTAGGTACCAAAGAGGGGGTAGTTAAAGAGATCCGAAGTTTTACCTGATATGGCCCCAGCCGAGGAGGTTAGGGGCGGCCATAGTAAGTGCAATGACCCAAGTGGCCCCTATCATCAGGGTCGTCCTGTGAGTAGAAAACAGACTGGAATATTCCCCGAAGCGGACTATGAAGTAGAATCTGTTCAGCGCAATCAGAGCCAGAGAGAAGGTTGAAACGGTACAGCACACCTGTGATTTTCAAAGGAGGCAGCAAAGAGTAAAGATTTAACATCTTTTCAAAATTTTTACATTATATTCTTTCAAATTTTTTCCCTATTTTCAGCAAAGTTATTATATCTTTTTTTTGAAAAGGAATAATTTAGTTAAAATAGTTTTGAATTTAAAAACCTGGAACCTAGCCTAATTTTTAAGACCTGCTGAACAAAAAACACTAAAAGCTTATTGAGAAAAAAAACTGAATCATGTTACAGCTGTTTCAGTAAAATGTATTTTTCTTACGGAAATATTTGACAGCTAAAATTTTCGTCTGATTTATAAAACATCAAACATCTTTCTCGCATTGGCCGTTTTCTGTAGCAGTTATTGTCTATTTCTCGATCTGGGCTTTTTCTGCATTTTACGTAAAAGCTTCTCAATAATTTTTATTAAGATTTGCGCTTTGGATTTAATTTAACTTACTTGTCCAAGATATCCAGTCAACTGGCAGATAAAATCTCCAAACGGATTCATTCCTCCGTGGACAAAATTGACAATCGCCAAAGGCATCACACACGAAGTCACTGCCAGATCTGCAGTCGCTAAATTGAGTATGAAAACACTCCCGACATTCTGAAGAGACTTCTCGACTGCCACGGCTCCGAAAATGAGAACATTTCCTGCAGTTCCTAATATTGAAACGAAACATTGGAAAATAAGGATTAGAAGCCAAAATCCGAGCGGAATTTTGAAACCAACAGCTGAGCCGAACAGTATACTGGACGCGATGATGAATGAGTGTTTGCGGTCATGAGCGGATGAAGAGTCGTTGAAAAAAGATGTGTCGGAAGTCGCTGGCAAGTCGGTTGCCTAAACAAAAAGTTATTCTCTGTGTAATAATGAGGATAGCTTCTTGCCGTATAGATAGCCCAGAATGATCCGACACACTGTTTAAAAATATATATTTTTTAATAATAGAAAAAAGTGGAAAATCGATTAAATTACTTTAAAAACTTAACTTTTTTGTAGTTTTTATTAAAAAAGCTTTTAAAATTGGCAAAAATTGCGTTAAAAATGGAAATTGAAATTTTAACGGAATTATTGTTAAATTGGAGGTCAGTTTCAACTCAAATTGTTTAATTTAGCCAAAAACCAAAAATGTTCAAACCAGTTTTACACTTTTTCGAATTTTCTAGAATCCAAATTACAGATGATAAAATATTAAAGATATTCTTTAAGAACGTCCAAATTTGGAGAAAAAATCAACCATACGCGTCACACTCTTGAAGTGGTCGGAACAAAATATCCACTTTGTAAGGTGTATAAGCAGGGGCGGATCTAAGATTTTCTCGAGGGGGGTGGGGGTGGAATTTCAAAAAAATTATTTAAAAAAAGTCGACTTTTTCTTTAAGTCGACTAAAATGATTTTCTGAACTCTCCTAGATCACTATTAAGACCCCATTTTGACAAAATACCTGCGCTGTAGGCAAATTTTTGAAAATAAAACAGGCCAAAAAAGGCGTTTTTAGGCATTTTTGAAAAACTTAGACCAAAAAATTGCGTTTTTTCGGCGCGCGCTCCCTCCTCACAATTATCATATTTTGTTGTCAAAGGCGCCTTTAGAAAAATTTTAGGTTCCTTCAGCCAAAAATGGATATCTCAAAATTGTACCAAGGGTGACCCTTTGGGTCGGCAGGGGGTCGAATCCCTGAAGGAGAGGGGACGTCCGCCCCCCTAAACCCGCTGGTGTGCACAAGTGTTTGTTACACTGCTTTTGACTAATAGCAGAGACAAAAAAATGTTTTCTGTTGCAATACATATCAATAATTTATAGTCTGGGACCGTGGTTCGTGTTGAAATGCTTAAAGTAAAGTTAATGAGAAAAGGATGATATGTTACAACAGGTGGTAATTTTAAGTTATGTTACAATAGGTGGTAATTTTAACTACAGTGCATGTATTAAATTTGAGAACTGGGATGCATAATATAGTCATTTCATTTTCAATCAATTGTACATGCTGCTAAGATTTTGCAAATACATTACTCTGCCAGATAAATGCTATTAAAAGTTCAAATTTTACACTTTTGCCAAAAAAAAATTGGCTTTTAAAATAAATTGTAAATACTGTGCGAAGTATAACAAAAAATGATCCAGCTATTTAAGTTAAAATTACCACCTATTGTAATATATCACCGAGAAAAGAAGGGCAAATTGGGTTTCAGTGATTTCAGCTGTGTTTTTGAAAATTGTGTGTGCGCAGAAAAAAACAAAGACAGTTGGTTTCTGTGCAGGTAGCTCAAAAACTTCCGACTTGATTGAAGAAGAAAAATAAAAAAAATCAGGAAAATAACAATATCTTCGCATCGCTCTTTTGACTGTTGAAAATCAGTTTCCACAAAATTATATAGCATTTTCAACGCCATTTTGCAGCCTCAAGGTCAGCAATGCTTAGAAAATTTTCAATTGTTGTCCAATATTATTGTTGTACTCTATAGAACAAGCAACAAAAATCAGCTCGTAAAAATGCATTTTGAATGATTTGACAAGCGAATTCGAAATCCATAAACGCATGGCATTCTGTTTGTTGAGGCATAGCCAAAAGCAGATATTTTCTCCGTTTTATACGATTTTGTGTCCTCAACAAAGTCTCAGCCCAAGTTCTTCTGACCGTCTTTATTTTCAACAGTGCTTGACTGGGTTTTCTTCAAGTTTTCACTCTGTCTCGGCCACGATTTTTTAGATGAAACAGCAGCTTTTTGCCGATTTGAGTTTAAAAACGAAATCCTCTTTTTCTCGGTTGGAACAAAACAAATGCCACCCAACAAAGTTTTATTGGCAAAAAGCATTCCAAAGAAGTTAATTTTACCTCAGATGATGAATACTCAATAAAATGTTTCTGTAAAATCATTTTTGTAAAGCAAGAGAACCGGCAAAAAAGTACAAAATTGTTAAAAATGGCTGGAAAAGGGGTATCTTAACAGCAAAGCTACAGCCAATCTTTTTGAGTTCCGCCAATCTGTCAAGAATACGGGAAAAAATTAGCGGCATTAATTCAATTATTGTCACTTTTCTCAGCTGAGATTTTATCTATACTGTTTAAATACTAGGACTAGCTTAATTGAAAAAACCCACAATGAGAAAACGATGAGGTTGAGGACGTTTTTATGCTCAATAATTGAACAAACTAATGCACTTCTAGCTGTGTAATGGATACAAGTTGCGCTAAATCAAGTTTTTTTTAACCTACACACAATTTAAGTAAATATCAGTATTGGCAAAAAGGCACCATTGTCAAAAAAGGCAACAAAATTGGCATCATTTTGATCCATTTAAAAAAAGATCGAAAATGGTCGACATTTATTTTTAAAAACCGCCTCATTTCGATTTCCTAATTGAGTTCATATTTTTTCCCAAAAACAACTAAATTACTTTTCAATCATAGAGAAAATCAAATTATCAATTTCATCCTTATCATTACAATATTCATAACAGGTTGTGTTCAACCAGTGACTGGAAATATCTATCATTCTTAAAAGTAATTGGTGCTTGTTTGCAATTTAGCTACAAGTTCATTGAGCTAAGAGCACCAAATAATGCCAATCAAGCAAAGTGATTTTGATAAAAAACAAAGAAGGAACTTCTAAAAATGAAATCTTGATAATTCCTAAGTTTTTGTTTGAAAGTTATCTGATTTCTATTTCAATATTTTATTATCAAGTAAAAAATGTATTATACTTTCAAAGTAATTATCAGTAATGTATAATCTAAAGAAAAATTTCCACGCTTCTTAAAATCTCTTTTTAAAATTATTGTATACAAAAAGACACAAGTTGCATTTTTTCTAAAGATAATATCAGTATTTTTTTTCTTAAGATTATATCCGTTTTGAAAAATATTAAGACTTCCATATAGAAAGGAGACTTTTATTGTCATTGTCATCTGAAATATAAATCCACTTTTATTTATCACTTTGGAGCGTACACTGAACGGAATTTTGAAAATAAATTTGGATAAAAAATCCTTTGTTTTCTCGTGCGCCAATTAGAAAGTTATTTCGCAGTGATTAATAGTCGACACGCTTTTTCTTTTGTATTCGCCACGTGTAGGCACATCTTTTGGGCTTAAATAATTGCCCGTAATTTGCAGGTTATTAACTTCGCATCAAAAATTTGGGCCAATTTTGGGAATTAATCATTTTTGTTATATCGCTTCCTGGGTAAACAACTAAATCCGATTACAACGACAGCCCCACATAACTCTATATTTAAATAAAAAATACTTTGAAAAATCGGAATCTAAATTTTCTTCTATCAAAGTTATCATTGAACGGTTTAATCGATATTTACTCAATATTTTTATTACCGTTGAAAACGGTCATGCAGAAATCAAATTTAACTAAATGAGTTCACCCAATTTTTTAAATCAATCGGGAAACAGTTCGTTTATAGACTTATTAGTGGACAATCAACCATCTCCGAGCCAAAATTCTTCAAGCCTATTCACGCAGCGAAACCAAAGCCATTCGTTTCGGATTTCACGAGAACAAAAGACGCCACTTTGCGAGAACAGCCGGCTGAATTGTTGTCTTCCGAGTGCGAATAGTTTGTTCACGAGCAGCGCCGAACACTTGTCGGAGAACGTAAGCTTGACGAATAGCTCGCTGCTATTTGAAGATTTACTGGATCAAGAAAATTCAGAGTACGTTTTCTTCGAAAAATAACTCATGAGAACTATGATTTTCTTGGTTAAAAAACTGGTAGGGTTTTAGCTAGAAAAAAAAAACACATTTAAAAATTATTAACAAACTTTAAAGGACAGTTATCTCTGAATTTTTCTAAGACTTCAGCTGAACCATAACTGTCCCTATATTTTCTGTGTTTGATTTGGAATGGCTTTAAAAATTACATTTAGAGCTTTATCGAATATTTTTGAATAACTCAAGAAATTATTTTGAACTTTAAAATAATTTGAGCAGGCGTATCGATATAAAGAGTTCTTGAAGAACTCATTCTATCGATTCGCCTGCTCTAAACTTTTAAAAATTTAGAACACAGATTAATCCCTGATATTTAATCAGAAGTAATTGAAAATGTGTTCTTTTCAGGGATTTTCACTCGCCGAACTTAGAAGACTACATACCTGATCTATCAAATCCAGTCGTTAATCCAACCAACCAATCAGCAAGCTTCAAAACCGAACACGAGGACAACCACGCGCCAAGTTCGTCATTCGGAAATAAACACGAACGGGAGTACGTCGAAAATAAAGAGTCGTTTCGGGTAAGCAAAAAGAACAAATCGATCACGCCGCACAGGTTAATTGAAAAGCGAAGACGAGACAGAATTAATCAGAGTTTGCAGGAACTGAAATCCCTTGTATTGCCGGCTGCACACACGAAGGTTAGAAAGCATCAGAGTTACAAGAAAACTGCCGCGCAAATTTAGATTTTCTTGATTTTTTAATGTTTTTTTTTAGGTATTCGAGGGTCATTTTTGTTAGTTTTAGAAATAAACAACTTTTCATAAATTTGAAAAAAATTGGTCCAACCACTAGCGAGAGAGGTAAAAAATTATGGCATAGGATAAGTTTTTCAGCGAGATTTGAGGTATCTCAATCAAAACTTGCAGGACTCCTCTATTAGTTCCCAAAACAGCTCATCAATTGAAAAAATGGGCATTTTTTTGAAGAGATCAGAAAAAGGGACATTTTTTGAGAAATTAGAAAAATGGGAAAAATTTAAAAATGGGCAAACTAAAAAATAGGAAAAAAGGGCTTTTTTGCAAATTTCCGCCAATGTTTTTGCAAATTTACGATCAATATTGTGATCAAAACACTTATTGCAGTTTTTACAGTAACCGGGTACTTCTCTTTGTTTGGAAACCAGTTTGCTTATTTTAATCAATTTATATTTTTTAGTCAAAACTGGATAAAGCGGATATTCTGAAGCTCACTATTGACCATATCAAAATGCTACACGAACACAACAAAGGTAATGAAATGAGCTGCGCCCTTATTTTTTAAAATAACAGAAAAAGCAAAACACGGAATTTGATTTTAAAAAATTATTCCATTTGTTCGTTCTTTGATTTATACTTATTTAAAAACAAGAAAGTAAATTCTATTTATAAATTCTGTTTTCTATTCATTCAGAAAACGATCTTCCCGCGAGAGCTGAAGCTTCAACTTCTAACCAATCACAATCGAGCAAATTTGAGGCCCATTCGTCTACGGCATACGTGGGCCAACACATCATGCTCGGGTATATGGATTGTCACCAAGAAGCGATCGACTTTTTAACTCAAGAAGCAAATTTACCAGCGGACCATCCAATAATCAAGCAACTTAACACACATCTTCTAAAACAGCAACAGAATTTAGATCTGGTCGCAATGGAAAGAAATTTACAATTCGCTCAGGAGTTGCGTAATGTCGCTGAAATGAACTCCAGCCCTAATTTTGACAGCCAGTTACAAATTGCGGAAAGTTCCGTTGAACAGGTGAAAACCGAACCAATTATGTCATTAAGTACGATTACGTCATCGACGCCTGAAAACACACCAGAAGCAAAAATGATTTCATTGGCCAATAATTACCCGACAACGCGCAACGGAACCAACAAAAGCGTGCAGTTTGGACCGGTAGCGGAAACATATTTATCGTCGTGCCATTTAACGAATGGTGTAGTTTCGGCAACTGTTCAAACGACTCCCAAGATCCGACAAAAACCGAAAATTCCAACCCCCGAAATGTTGCCCTCGTTTCCAATTTTTGCCATGCCGTATTTATCGCCCAGTCAAATGATAACAGCGGAACATAACAACTCGATTTATTCGGTTAATTAGTGAACTCTAAAATTGTATCTATGAATGAATATATATTTATGTACTGTTCCATATTTGGGTTGCTGTATGAAGCTTAGTTAGATAGATAGTTTACTCGTTTGTCCAGAATTCGTGTACAAGTTTATAGATTAATGGGTTGCGTGATTTTATTAATTTTAATCTGTTATTAGATTAAATTAAATTTTATTATCTGAAAAGATTTTTTTTAAAAAAAAAAGAAGCTTTTTGTAAAATTGATCCGAAAAAACTCCATACTTTCGCTCGCAAGGTGAAATCGTAGGCAATTTTCAAGAAAAATTCCAAATTTTTGACGAAATTTTTTAGATTGACAAACTTTACTACTCATGCTCTTCCAAAACACTTGAAAGACAATATTGATAAAAACATTTTCTACGTCAGAGCGCAGAGGAAAAATTTTATTGCGCGATCTTTCAAATATCGCATATTGGCACCTCTTTTATAGAATTTTGCTTCAATCAGCAAATACCGAAAAAAAATGTAAAATAGTAACAAAGGCTAGTGAGGAGTCGAACTTGACCTCCTTTGACCACCCGTTTCCCCACATCTGCTACTGGGTAAACTACTGAAATATGTTTTCAAGGTTGAATTATTATATCTGCGTCGTAATTCAAGAGGGGGGATCTAGGATTTTCTCGAGGGGGCGCGTATTTTCAGAAAAAATCGAAAGTTTTGTCGAATTTTTTTTAGGTCAATCAATTTGATTTTCTGAGCTCTACCAAATTACTGTAAAGACCCTATTTTGACCAAATTTGCTGCGCCGCAGGCGATTTTTGAAAAAAGGCCAAAAAAAAGTGTTTTTAGGCACTTTTGGTAACTTTGACCAAAAAATCGCGTTTTTTTGGAGCGCGTTCCCCTCTCAAAATTAGTATATTTTGGTGCCAAAGGCGCCTTTAAAAAATTTTTAGGTCAGTCAGCCAAAAATGGATCACTCAAAATAGTAAAAAGGGGGACCCTTTAGGTCGGCAAGAGGTCGAATCCCTGAGGGGAGGAGGGGCGTCTAAATTATATGCCTTGCTTTCTTTTTTTTACTTCAATTAGAGCAAAAAAGTAAAAAAAAAAGTGTTGACTTTTTCCGACCCCTCCTTATTAGCTAACTAGTTCCAATGGTCAATTAAAACGAAAATACGAAATAATTATTTAATTACTACACAAGGTAAATCCGGCAAATGAACAACATCAAAGGGTCCTAAAATATCTTTGATGCTTTGATATAATTTCGGCTTCAAATCAACACTCAATCACTAACCTAATCATTGCGTATTAATTCTTTTCAAAGTATACAATTAATGGTGAATTTGTTGGTAATAGATCCTTTTATCTTTAGTATCTATAGTCATTTTATTGGGTTATTAACTTAAATTTGGGCGTTGTCAAAGACGAGACGCACCTCCCTTGAATTTAGAGCTCAGTCTAGCTGTCTGTTCAAAACCAATTTGTAATCTAAAATGAATTCAAAAATAGAAAGTATCTTTTAACATTCAGACAATCTTGTTCAAGTGAACTAAATTTTCAATTGATATTTTCGAATTAATTTGTTTTGATGATGAAATGCATCAGGGCAAAAGTAAGGCGCGATGGTAAGATTGATTTGTGTGATGAAATCATTTTGATGATTTTGCGTAATTTAATAAGCGAGCTTATACATAGTACAATGCATATATGGGGCAGTTCATGGAATGATTTACTTCAGATATTATTAATATTCAAAAGACATCTCTGCGTTTCTGGACAATTTATATAACCAGGAACCACGAAATTTTCTGATTTGAGACAATTTAGAAAAAAAACTTTTTATTCAAGACTATTTTGAAAAATTCTTATTTGAGACAATTTCTCTCAGAAAAAATCTGATTCGAGATTGTTATAAAAAAAACTTCTAATAAGAGACTATAAAAAATAGCTTCTGATGACCATTCAAGAAATACACATGGGTTCAGTTTCAGAAAATTTGAAAAAAAAACAGTTTTCAGACCATTTCGAAAGAAGCAATTCTAATTTGAGACAAATTTGAAAATTCTGATTTCAGGTGACTTGGAAAAACAGAAAAAAAAACATTGAAAGAAAACTTTCATGGTTAAGATTTCATTTGAAATCCGGCTAAATGATTCAGAGTTGGCATATGCTTCTAAGGATACTGCATATGAGAAGTGTCGATTCCTGGTTATGACTAGTTAATTAAGTAATGAGTTGATGATGAATGATTATCTGAGCGAGTGACTCCAGTTGATAGGGTTGAACTTCAGCATTTCTTTCTCTTCTCTCTGTCTCAAACAGCGCTCAAGTTTCTTCCGCTCTGTAATTTCGGCTGCCATCTAAACTCACAACGCATTAAATCACAACGCATTTTAAAATCAAAACGACGTGGATAAAATTTTTGCTGATTTATCTTCAAATAGTTGCTTGCGCCGAAAAAAATTTTGCTTGCGCCGAAAAAAAAATTATGCTTTTCGAACTTAACTACAATGTATGAAAATGCTCGCATGACTACTGAGGAAACCATTTGTAAATCGCACAGAATGAAGTAAAAACTCAAAATACAGTTTTTTGACTTTTTGCCAACCAGACTAAGGCCAAATGTGCATTAAATTTTTCACACACAGGATCCAACAAAACTACATAGAAGCGAAGCTGCGCTTCGCAAACAATAACAAGAAAATGACAAAAAAGCTGCTTTATAAAACGAAATAAGAAAAATAGAAATAAGCCTCGAATTAGTGAAAACTTGCCACGTATCGGATTTGAACCTATAACAAATAGATTTTGAATTTAATAAAGTGAAGGCATCTAAAAAACTGGAAAACACGAAGCCACGTTATGCATAAATTATGAGTTTCAAAAAATGCGAGATATATTGAGTTAGAAAACTTCTGAAATCGAGTTTTTATTATTGTTATATTGTTTGAAACAAATAGCTTTTTCCGGTTCATTTGACAATTAAAATGCATCAACTGTGTTAACTTAGGGTTGCAAATTAAAAATCGATAATTAAAATGAGTCAACTGTGTTAACTTCGAATGTCAAAGTTAATGCTATCAAAAAACCGTAAAGGTGCCACCAAAATTGGCATAAAAGTGCCACCAACAAAAACTATACAAAAGCCTAGGCCAGAAAAAATTAACAAGCCTCGAAAAAGAAAAATTTCAAACCGGACAAAAAAAATATTATAAGTACAGATGAAGGAGCACCAGCGAATAGAGAAAACTAGCAAATGAGAGATTTCTAACACAAAAGGAAAATGAATTCGAGCTTGATTTAAAGCAGAAACAAATTCAAAGAGCAACAACAAAAAATTTCAAAAAAAAACATAGAAGATCAATTATTTATTTAGTTTTAAAGCACCCATATGCAAAATTAGAAGAAATTAACAGGTGTCTTCGAAAATTTAGCACAAAAAATAGAACTAAAATAAGACAACAAAAAAATTTTGTTAACAGTTTGAGCTGAAGATCGTCAGAATTTTGGAAAACAAAATATTCTGATTTGATAGCAATTCAGACTTCCTGAAACCCAATTTATTACTTTTCAAAAAGGTAGTTGGCCTTTGAAATAGCGACCTTTGAAAATACCTGCAAAACATATACTATAATGTTAGTTGATTGCTCATAAAATAATTTCAAAAAATTTAGAGCGAGGCCAATAAAAATTTATGAAAAACGAACAAAAACCTTAAACAAATTCAAGAAAAAAAAACATTTCTTTGATAAAAAACTTCTTTTATCATAAATATTTCTTTAAAAAAAACAAAAATTAATAATATAATTTTAAATTGAAAATTATGAAAAAATTATTCGTTCAAAATATTCTGGGAAAGTGATTTGAAAATTTCAAACTTTTCCGGAAAAAAATTATTCAGACTGAAATAACTCGCTTGAAACAAAATTTGAAAATTAGAAAGGTAAAAAAACTCAATAGAATTCAAGCCAAAAATCGATCGAAATCTTTCCTGTACACAACAAAATAACATACATGAACCATCTCTAGAGCATCTACAAGCGCGCCATTTTCAGTTCATTTTAAGTTTTCACGATTCTATAAGCAAAGATTCTATTACCAGTACCAGATTGATATAACTCTGCTAATCACAAGAAAAGAACACTAGATATCAATAACACCCAGGCCAAAATCTTAATTCGGAACAATATTCCAAAATGAAACGAGGCAACATAATTAGCTCAAATGGCTAGTTACTATACAAAAATTCTGCTACAAACATTTATGTTTTTTTTTCTCTCCAATTTTAGTCTTTTTATTTTTCTATGAATAATGTGTAAGAAGCGTGTATTCATGATAAAAACCAGGGCCGAATTTAGGAGGGGGGCGGACCCTCCTCGAGAAAACACTAGATCTACCCCTGCTCAAAACCAATTCAGAACAGAAGCAAATCAAATCAATTAGATTATGAAAAACTTAGCCGTTTGCTGAGCAAGTAGCATAGAATGCTTCAACCGCAGTAATAATTGTGGGAAAAAACTTTTTAACAACAAACGACGTTTCATGGATTGGTTTTCGAAATATTTTTGGTTTGTGAAAAGTGAAAGTGAATAAGTGAATAAATATGTAACATGCAAAAAGCCTAGATTATAAAACCCGTTCAAAAATTTAAATTGTCAATTGATGTTTTACAGCTGGTTAATCTACATAGAAATGAAGGCATTAATAGCTCTAAATCAAATTTGAGTCTGAACTGCTAAAAAAATGAGAAAAACGCAAAAATTTCAACTAAAGTTCGAATACGAAATTTTTATTTTCGAAACCGAAGCACGATCGCGAAGATTTCACAAGGATACCTCACTTGGTACCTGTCTTGAGGCAAAAAAAAAATTGGTCGGCTAAAATCCACCTTATTCCAGAGAGTAAATAAACCAGCCGAAATACAAACCAACCCAAAACGCTCAGATTATATAGGCCAGCCGAAAAGTTACATCATATGAATGAATTTGCGTAACTTTCGTAACTGTTACATAATTGTTACATAGCAATTACACAACACTTACGTATTTTCGGCTGGTTTACACTTCGCCTGGTTTATATACCATCCCTATTGCATAGTGCTTTCCCACATGTCGAAATGTTGGTACATACTTTTTTGTTTTCGTCGCGGAACGACTTCATCATGTCGAATCTCTTCTGTCGGCTCTGCAGCTCGTCCTGAATGGTCCTCCTGTCCATTTCTATGAAGGCCTTGCTCTCCGTCAGACGGGAACTGAAGGCTGTCTTCTCACGCTCTAACTTACTTGCCATCTGGTCTTTCAGGATATCCCGAATCTCCCTCCTTCAAAATGAAATCTTTCAGGTTTTGTCTTTAAAAATTTTTCTGAAACTCCTATTTTAATTTATTCTCATGTTATTTTTGCTATTAATTAGAAAACAAATTTCATCTAACAATCGAACGCATGCATAGTTTTCTCCTTCAGAAATTACCTGTTTTTCAACATCCGGACGTAAACTAGGCACTAAATTTTCCCTGTTTGATGTCAATTACAAGCAAAACAAATTTGTGAGATCAGCTTCTGACAACGCCAATAATTTCTGATTTTATCATTATATTACACAGAGGCGAAGCGGAGCTTCACAGAAAGTGCTGCGACACAAAAATAAAAGAGCTGACGAAGAAACAAATTAAACATAGGAAACAATGCTGTCAGTTGCTGTGCAAGTAGCACAGAATATTCCAACACGGTAATTCGTGATTTACGTACAACTTAACAAAATAAGAAAACACATTCAAAAAACTATATTTTGTTTCTTAACTTCCATTTTTTGTTTTTTTTTTGATAACGGGCGGTTGAATTAAGGAACACTGCAAGAAAAAGGTTTATTCAAAACTGGTGGGTACTTTGAGTCTGGTTTAATGTCTGAAACTGAAAAGCAGAAAAATTCTGACCAATCTTTGGAAACAATGACACCAATTTTTTTTGCTTTTTAGGATAAAAAAAAGTTTTTACACTATATTTCATTCCCATACTACGAGAAGGACTGAACAAAAATTTTCCGAAATCTCATTCAAATCTAATGTGGAAACAAGGATATCCGGTTACTATGCGAGTAACACAGAATGTTCCGACCATAGTCTTTAAAAAACTACAATAAAAAAAAATTTTTCTCAAATTAGTAAAGTTTTTTCTGCGTAGTGCGATAAAACAATCTGACTTAAAACTACAATTTAGGCATATTCGACAAAAACATTAATGTAGGCAAACAGGACAACAAAGTTTGAAACAAAAATGACGAGAAAAACAAAAAAAAAATAAAATATTTTGAAAAATTCAACATTTTTTTCAAATATGTTTTTGCAGATATTTTTTGAATTTTTTCCAAAAAATTGTAATCGAGTAAAATTGAACAAGACATTATAAATGGCCCAAATTCAGCATAAACAAGCGGGCTTGCTCGCGATACTCGCTCGAGTTTAGACGAAAAATTGAAAATCAAACCGGTTTATCTCGACAGTGGGAAAACTTGTTCAAAATTTTCAAATGTTCAAATTACGACTAAAGAGCTTTAATATGATATATCTCTCAACCCTGTTCGATGATCATTTGTGGTAGCTGATTTTACGCAGAAAACAAAAAGAAAACAACTAAAACACTCCCGAATTCAAATTTTCGCCCCATTTTTCAAATGGTCGGAACAAATATCTTCCCGATGGTAAAAAAATCCCAGAGCAAAAATAATCTATAATTATTTGAAAGTCAGTAAATACTGCACTGCATCAGATATTGAATTTAGCAATTGAATTTCAAAAAAAGGAAACCAATTTGACGAAATTTGAAACCCAAACCACTAATCAGACAAAAATTTGATAGAAAAAAAATTTGTCTGTAGAATTATGAACTAGGCAGTCTAATTTCGAAAAAAAGAGCAAGTCAGCAGCATTTACACTTGTCAGTAACTGCACGTGTTTCTTAGTTTTTTACATATTTGTATGAAAAATTGTTAAATGGAAAATTTTCTAGTTCCTGATAACAAGACACTTGATCTGGCAATTTTTAACATCTGGAACACGATTAGAAAGAGGGTTAAATTGACCCTCATTATGAAGGTTTTGTGATGCTTACAGTCGTAAAAGCAAACAAACAATGCTTTTATAAGCCCTTTATAAGGAAGTTGAAGCCAAAAACTCAAACTTAATTCCTTGAAAATCAAATTGTGTTAACCTGTATTGCTCTTTAGCTGCAATTGAGCCGTAAACTGGCGTTTCATAAGTAGAGTGATATCTGTGAAACTCCCGCTGTTTCATCGCCGTGCTGCGCTGGCTTAAAGCATCATGAGCATTCACAGTCTCAAGACTGACTGTTCGTCTGCTCGACCATGGGGGATGAAGTGGGTCTACTTTATTGAGAGAACGGATTCCCTCCACTTCTTGGAACCGGGGAGTCAAACGAGGCAATACGGCCATTCTAAAATCAATTCAGAAAATTACATAGGTGATATACTTAATATCGGTCCATCGAACTAAACGAAGGTGAAGGTGATATGAAACTCAAATCTAAGATGAAGCGTAATATAAAACCAGACAGCTCTTTTCCACTTTCCCGACCACTCGTAACAATACCAAATAATATTGTTAAAAACTCCACACCGCAATTTGCATGAGTAACAGTTTGTTCAACTGTTCACGTTTTCTTGTTTTATTGCAGTCAGAAAAACTTCCAGAGAAAATAAACCGAAAACCGGAAAAAAGCCAACCAGACAAGCTAAGGAATCACAACATTCAACGAGTGCTACAAGAATTTTTCAAAACAATTCAAATCTTAAAACACTAAATCTGATATATTCTTTTTAAAGTGATAACTAAGCCAACTAAGATGTTCAGGCGTTTTTAACGACTTGTAACATACGTATGACTACGCGGACCAAGATCCGGCATCAGTTGATAATCGATCTTTCCCTATTTCAAATTATACGGAAATTGATTAAGCAAAACACTGATGTTAAGCAATTTCAATCTCTTGAACTTACCATGACTCCAAAATCACCTGTAATATTAAAATTTTGAACAAATAATTACAGCTGACAAAATTTTTAAAATCTAAGATGCAAGTACCAGCATGTTTTCGGTAGGATTTTAACTTGAACATTACTATCGTTCAACAAAATTGATGTTTGTTATAATTTGCTGCTTGCTTGGGTCAGGTAATTCTCTAAGTTTCTTATATGAACGAACAAACGTTGCTTTCATCATTTTGGCAGTCTGGAAATATTCAAACTGGTTCAAATCTAACAAAATTAGTGAAAAAAAATTTGAAAAGAGGCCAATTGCTTACCTCGTGAATAATTTGATTCAAACTGTCATTAAATATGTATATTGCTGATCGTTTTTGATAGGTTTCTCAATCTATAAATCTGAAATAATTTTATAAGACAAGGCGCTGTTATGAAAGTTGCAAGAAACAATCATTGACTTAAAACTAAGCTTTTGCAGAAATGGAGAGCTGATATGTTGAAAATCTACATATCCGCGTATTATCTTTCTATGCTAACATAGTATTCATGAAGTTATTGATTCAGTCAATCTTTGTTATAAAAATATTTTTTGTTGTTTCAAGATTTGCATGATTGAGAAGCTATAATATTGTTTGAAACGAAAATTAACAAAAGAACATGTAGAGATAAACATTAGAAAAAAAAAGTTGCTCTCGAAGAAAGTCTGTGCAAAAGTTTGAGGAAATAATTAAAGCTGTAAAACCAATTATGAACAAAGCTATTTTCAACAGACTTCAAAGTTAAAAGGATAAAGCTTAACGAATGGGACTCAGTGTCTTCAAGACTTTTGCTCTAAAACAAATTTGTCACGAACTTTAGAAACCATAAAAATAAGAAAAAAACTGAATCCAACAGATGTAAAAGCGAAAAGGATAAAGCTTAACAAATCAGGTTCAGTGTCTTCAAAGAAAACAATGTCAGATGAACAGTTTCGAATTTCACAAATCCCTATTCAACAAAAAGATATGTTTGACCCAAACCCATAACGCACGTGCAATATAGTTGGTGTTTTTACCTTCTGATTTCTACATTTTGAACGAAAAAAAATCTAATTTTTTTTTTCAAGTATATCTCCGGGTGAAGGCTTTTTTTTGCTCCCCATTGAGTAAAACCAAGTCATGAGTCAACAACAACTGACGGAATCTCAGCTACCAATTACTCATGAAGTGCTGATTGAAACGGAGACAAAATTCAGAAATGCGCTAACAGCAAACAAAGCGACAACAGAATCAAAACAAATCCAAATAATCAAATTAATCCCCCCATTCTCGAGAGAAATTGTAAAGTCCGCTGAAAATCTGTCGCAGGCTTATCGGAGTTGTGCTTCCGATATACTAAAACAATTCCCCACTGTAACATTCGCCCGGAAGATACATATCGACGGAAAATAAAGCTAGGTTCTAAGACGACTGGCCTACGTCTAAACAGAGCTCTACATGCTTTTCACCGTCTCTACCAAGCCAGTACTTTCGGTGGTCTTTCTAACATCGGGTCGACAAACAAAGTTTCTGGTTTCGGCTTCGGTCAAAACACTCAAATTAACTCAATTACATGCAGAAACAGTGAGCTCATGGCTGGGTCTCAGTATCCCCAGACCACGAGGTCACTCCTAAAATCAAGGCTACTACTACTGATTGAATTATTATTGTTTTTGTTCAGTAGATAAAAATCATCATCTCCATCGAAGATGGATCAACCCTTTCCCCCAACTCCTAGCTTCTCATCTTGGTAGAATGAATTCAGATGTTAATTAAATTCAACTCAGGACATGACAGGGAAGCTAAAAGTTTATAAAAAACACTATCAGTTCCAGTCCCGAGACCCCTCCGGATTCCTGAATCCGGGAAAATAAGGCTCTTATTCTCCTTCCGGAAGGCTGGTTCTCCACCCTTCACCGTTGTTCGCAACGGCCTTGCAACTAGTGTAGCGACACAATAGTTGCAACTCGGAACGGTCTCTGCTATTCCTGCAATCTGTTGTTGTTTCTCAATCACAATTTCCGTTGTTATCGTCAGCGCAACTATCGTTGTTGTGTTTTTCCTCGACTTTTTTTCCAAAATGGCCGTTTCTGACGTTTCTCAGAAATATGACGTCATAATTCGAATTTTTAAAATTTCAAAATACCAGAATATTTTAGCCCTCACCGTTTGGCCAATCGTTGTAATAACGCTCTTATTCCTTCAAAATCGCCAATTCGGAAGGTTCACTGCTAAAATTTCGAATATGCTGAATCTGCATTTTGATCCATTCTGGTCGAATGTCACATACTCCCCGGACAGTCCGGTCAATGTCCTCATTGAATGTCGCAATGTTCGTAAAATAGGTACAGTGTCATCGAACAGAATTTACAAAATGCACGAAATTACTTTTATCCACGTCGCATCGACTCACTGCAGAATATAAATGGCATTATACTACATCACTATAGCCTTCATATTCTTTCATTAATCTGCACATTGAGGATATTACCTAAGATAAAACATATCTTCCGACTTCAAATGTCAATGTCCTGATTAAAAAATTTTTCTCCTAGATTTAAAAGGGGTTGGTTTGCAGGACGGCCCTGCCAACCAACAAGCTAAAATTATCCTACTATGCTTCTTCCCTTCGGAAATCTGGCTCAGAACAATGAAACAATCGCCCTCTTCGAGAGATTACTCAAGCCTTTCATGTCACCACAAAGTGATCAGTTCTCCTAGCTGATTAAAAACAGTCATGCAGCCTGGAATGTTTAAATATACTCCTTCACTCAAGCCTTCCTAAATAAATAGTAAGTAAGTGTCTCTAAAGCCACTTAACTAATATCAAAATGCAAATTTATAAATGCAACAACTTCAAAACACAACTAAATGTTTCAGTTTTCAATTACAACTTGGTTGCTTAGTTTCTCACTTGAGTTTTTCACACACATAAAACAATTCTGAGTTTTAACTTTTTTTCATCACTCCTTTGTTTTCTTCTTTTTTCGTCGTTTAAAAGTTCTAAAACTTCTAAATTCTTCTAATTTCGTCTCTTTTTGCATCTCGTTTTTCGGCCATTCGTCAATGTTCCATCTCTTCCTCCTGTGATACTGACTCTGCGCTTTCAGTTTCTGTGTCCTGCAACACGTCGTTAGCTATCCTGACGCTGTTGGAAGCAGTCCTCCAACACTTCTGATCTTCTACCCTCTGTTTGCAACAAGGTAGGGGACCCACGTTAGATTCTCTGTTCCTGCAGAAGCTGTTGTGGAGACACAACGTCACATTTCTCTCCAAATCTTCCTTTAACATCTCTGCCTTCTCCTTTCCACTACGTTCACTTGTCCTAGAAATTATCTTCACAGCGGTGGTCAGTGCATTCCGATGAGTCACGAGAGCTTGCTTGAAAGCTCCTGCTCCAATGTCCAGCTGATATTCACTGTACACTCTGCCGTGCTTGGACATATGCTTTTTAGCATATTCGTACAACCATGCAGTCATGTTAGCTCTGAACCATGGCATCATTCGTTTTCTTGCCCATATCTTCTTCACTTCCATCGGAATGTTTAGAATTTTGCACATTGTCTCAATAAGATCTAAATCTTTTAGACAATCCAATTTCCGCAACTGTTCTCTCGTTGGCGCTTCCTGTCTATTGTTCTCTCTTACGTGAGCTTCCAGCCATCGTATCGCCATCATAACTCCCACTATCACTATTGTTATGGGCTGTGATGAGTCTGGTAAACCCATGGAGAGCAGCTCTCCAGAGTCCCAGATCAACACCAGATTACTACGCTTGGGATACCACCAGGTCTGCAGCAAGCAGTGGCAGGGAAACTCGTCATGCGTCAACATGATGCTCCTCCAGTTAAGTTTTCACGAAGCTTCCAGTAATGGTTCCACTTCCATCATCACTCGGTGGACTTCATCATTCTCGTCTACTGTATTGTAATCTGTGACAGTTGATCCTCTCTGTTTCTGTCTCTCAAAGTCACTGAAGTTCCCGCTCACGTATCCCATGAACTTCTTTCCCAGTATCGATTTCAACTCCTCCTTGGTTCTCTCTGGAACTGCTGAGAACATCTTACATAGCAACTCGTAAGATTTTTCGGACATTCTCGTTAGTCTAACACACTTTGGCACTGAGAAGGCTTGATCCACGATCGTTCTCGTACTCTTTACCTCCACAGCTACGAAATGTACCGGGTATCTGCTCTTGCACATTGAAGCCAATGCCGAACCCACCAAATATCGTGCTCCTGATGGTCTACAAAAAGTCTCACTGTGTCTGATGTTCATTTCCGTCTCGATCGCTTCCCTCCATTTTCCTATGTATTTCTTCTCGGTTTGCAGAACTCCTGGCAACACTTCTACACTGATGGCAGTGACCATCTCATGTCTCTGTTCTAGATTCAATAGTGACTCTAGAGAACCAAACATGCTGTAGAATCCTAGTGCAGTCACTAGATTCACCTCGGTTCAGTTCCGTTTCCGTTCTTGCTTTCATCACGACGTTTCCAAACAATACGGTCAATTGCTTGTGTTGTTTCTCTAGGGTCTTCACACAGTCCAGACCTCCACAAACGTGACCCTCCAGTCCATAGACTTCCGCCAGACAGCTACCAGGTTTGACCCAGTCTTCTGGTCCCCAGCCAGGCAACTCCACTTTATCTTCACCGTTGCTCCTAGAGGCCGTTATTATTATGTATGATGTTAAGGTCACGCAGGTTACAGTCTGCATTCAGTTCCCTCTGCATGTCTTGTGTCGCCCGCAATATTGAGTCAGCGTTGGGACTAGGACTCCATGATGGCCTCATCAATTCCCACACAGCCATCAAGCTCGTTCTCAGTAATTCATCTGAGAATCCCAACCCAAACTCCACTCTTTTGTCGGAACTTGGTACGGAAGGTGCAGTCACCTCTTCTTCCAAGACCAGTCCCAATTTGGTGTGTGGATTATTAGCGCTATTAATTATTACAATTCTCGACGTCCAGAATTTTAGTAACGCTGCCTGTTCGTAATCGAAGAAGCAATCGCGTATGTCTTCACTCAGGAAAGAGTTGTACGCTATCCCTATGATTCCGGATACGTAGCTTTATGACTTCTTCTTGATCGGTCCACAGTATTCACTGGATTTCGGCAATGCCCCCATAGATTCTTTAGTGAGTCTCAGATCCTTGTTTGAGAATCTCCTGATTTCGTCTATCTTTCTCATGGGCTCTAACTCCTCGGGTTCTTTCATATTCACCCTCATCGGTTTGCTTTGCTGCATATCCAGCAGTGCTAGCAAGAGTAAGGCTTTCGCTCGCTCATCGCCTTCCCTCAGCATCTTAACACAAGTGTTCAATGCAGGTACTGAAATCTGCTCTAGCATGAATCGAATGAAACAGAGAGCGTCTCTCCGCTTCGCAAACGCTACTGCTGCTCCCTCTTGGACTATCAGATCCCT